TCTCTCTCTCTCTCTCTCTTTCTCTCTCTCTCTCTCTCCCTCTGATGTGATTGTCAGCTGTGTGTCAGAGGAGGTGCTGAGGTTCAGATAAACCCACCCTCCTGGTGTGTACTGTAACACCAATGAAGCGCGTTCTAAAAATATAACAGGAGGTCAGCCAGAGTGTGTACACATCATTTGCGTTTGTGTGTGTGTGTGTGTGTGTGTGTGTGTGTGTGTGTGTGTGTGTGTGTGTGTGTGCTCTTTTAAGGAAAGGTATGTTATCGTTGTTCTCGTGAGCTTAATGCAAGATGATAACGGAGGTGTGATACATGCAAAGACACAATGAAATGCACACACGCAAACACACCCGTACGCACACTTAAGTGAGGTGTGAGAGCAGGAGAGGAGTTGATGACAAGAACTAAAAGTCTGCTCACACTCTCTTCGTGTCTCTAAACCGTTGAAGGTCTCTGGTTCCTTTAGAACAGAGCAAGAGGTGGTCCATTTTCAGTCCAGGGCTTCCACAATAATAAGCAAACACACACACACACACACACACACACACACACACACACACACACACACACACACACACACACACACACACACACACACACACAGACACAAAGTGCTGCTGATGTGTTTTGGGCTAAAAAACACAATTTATGAAGCCCTCGACTGAAGATTTATATCATCTATATATATAACAGTTTTATTGATACATTTCTTATATGTTTAAAAGATATATATCATTGTTTCACCACTGTACAGCACAAAGCATCCTGATATACTTCACAAACAACATACAAAGTTCCATTTAAAAGATGAAAGTGTAAAATCAGATTTTTACAATGATTCCCTAAGGTTGTCTGTTAATTTGTGAACTGTGACCGTTTAATGGTCTATAAACTGAAATAACATCCTAACGAATCTTATAGAATCACAGATATTTTCCATAACTCTATGGCAGTTTATTCAGAAATATAATAATATATAACACAATTTTACCATGTCTGTTGAGGCTTTTTTAAGCTGAATGAAAATGAAAGAATATTCTGTGTAGTTTAAATTAAAATTCCCCAGTATCAAATAACAATAATAAATCAAAAATTATAAGACATCCCATCTTTTTAGGGTAGGGTGCCTTCGTAAGCCCATTTTGCTTTTTAATTTAATGAGCTACAACTTTTTAAAATACTTTATTGTATTATGTTTTATATGTATGTTTTTATTAATAAATAAATAAACTAAAAAAATATGTATAATGTAATTTATGTAGAAGAATTCACTTAAATGACAAGAATTGGAATCAGTCATTAAATATCACAGGTTTGAATTCGTAGTGGATCAAATATTGTAAAATCTACAGGGTCAACCGACTAACTGTATGACAGGGAACAAAAAAATAAAGCCATTTGACTGATCAAAGTTTTCCAAATTCACCTCAGAATGACAAATTATTTCACACAAGGTTTTGCTGTGACTGTTGGCACAAGCTTGAATTACCTCAAGCTGTTCGGAACAACATAAGGCTTTGTTCATCAAAGCTGTAGATGCTGTTAACTTTGTAAAAAAGCTTTGTAATAATGTTTAACTGTTCAGCTGTGATGAAAAGGTCATGAGTTGCAAGAAAGAGGTCTTTATCTCTGTGAATCTGCAGCTCTCCAGTGTTTTATTGCCTCTGTTCAAGCCCCGAGGAGGGTCACTATGTTCATCTGCTTAATTAAATGTGGCAGTGTGTCAAATTGAGACATGCTTCCTAAACTTCATGAAACTCCTCTGAAGTCGAGCTGAATGGCATCACTTCATTGTTAAACCAACCGCAGCAGTGTTAATTCAGTGTTAGAGATGCTCAGGTCACAACATATTTGGACAAACAACTTCATCTGAGTTTAGTTTAACATAAAATAATACATTTTCTTACATGTGGTAGGAACTTAAGAGCTTCTGGTTATGAATTGTTGTTCACCAGCATGTTGTCACATGGTGTAACCACTGTTTCAGATCAATGGAGGGGAACTGTTCTTTGCTACCGCTCATGAAGGCCTGGAGGAAACCAGTGTGACACTATCACAAGTTCTCTGGAAGAAAGTCACAGCCTCTACAAATTTTCCATGCTGATTTAAGAAGCCTCGAGCTATATTCTGTCACAGTATTTAACCCCTTTGTCATCTTGAATGAAATGGTGTTGCTTCATTTTATGTATTGTGTCATCTGCTGTGACTTAGATGACATGTTGCATTATTTTCCATTGTGTAAAGATGCTGTTTTCACTTTGGCAAATGATTGAACCTAAATTGATGAATAAAATGACCAAAATTTTGAATTGAACTAAACTTGAATTACAGTGAAATGAATTGAAGCAACAAAAGGAAATATCATTATAATTGTTTCCCTCCTCTGCTGCTATCATCCCTCACTGGCTTCCCACATCATAACCGACAATTGTGTATTTCTTGGAATGGCGGCAATGCTGCTTATACTGTATGTGCATTTTGAATTTTCAGTAAATGGATGGAAAGTTTAAAAACTGATAAAATACCACATGATACCCTGATGAAAGCATTTCTCAAGTAAATGATGACATTGTAGGACTTCTTTTATATTCAGCAGTATGTTATATAGACTATATACAGTATATTCCTCAACTACACCTGGCCTACAAAAATGTGTACTCTTCTAAGCTAACACATAGATTCATGAAATAAATTTTCCTATTAAAGGAATAGTGCAGAAGATTGATACCACTCTCAAAATATGAAGCTACAGCAAGCTAGCTTAGCATAAAGACTGGAAACAGGAGAAACAGCTAGCCGGGTCCAGCTCTGTCCAATGGTAAAAAAGAAAAAAAAGGACTACAACAACCTAACCAAAAGGCAACATCAATGGCTGGCAAATGAAGCCAACACAGTACACAACACAAGTAACAAAAACTGCAGTTCCTTGAACATAACATACTGTACTGTAACACATTCAAATTAAATTAAAGACAGCAACAGCCCGATCTGACCACTCTGAGCTTCATAATGGCTCTTCACAAACCTATGAACAGAGTCCATTTTTAATTATACAGTTTATGTGCAGTTCACTTTCTTGCATCTGATAGTTTCTGTGCTGTGCTTTTGAGTTTAAATCGGCCTCACGTAATTACAATTTTTATATGTGAGCTTGAGAGGTGCTGGTAGGCCTTTTTTCACCTTTTGGCAGAGCCAGGCTAGATGTTAAGTCCCAGTTTCAAGTCTTTACGCTAAGCTAACCAACTGCTGGCAATCCCCTCATCCAACTCTTGACATGAATGTGAATAAGCATATTTCCCACCATATCAAATTACAGATTAATTGCTGCTCTTTAAATTATGCACTGAAGCTATTATTATCAAACAATAATATGTCACAATGGTGTAAGCAGGGTAGGTCCAAAACGCTTACAGGATAATGAGGCAGGCAGATGTCAAAACAAATCCAAAAAGGCAGAAAATCCAAAGAAAAAACAGATAAGTTTCAGCAAACAAAGAACGAAGAAGTTCAAAAAACCCTACGAAAGATTTGACACATTACACAAAGACAAACTGGCACTGAGACAAGGGGACACACAGACTTAATACACTAGAGGGAAAAATCATGAGGGACAGGTGAAATTAAGCAGGACGGTGGGAAAACACACAAAGACAGGATGTGAAGTTACTGAAGAAGAAAGAGGGGAGTATTTCAAAATAAAACTGGAAACAATGACACAACTACATTTATGTGGAAACTATACTATTTTATGGCACAAAGTGTGAAAGGAAGGTAGGGAGGTTCCCCCACCAGATTTTAGATATCTGGATTTCATTTTTATTTTTTATCGTATTACTATAATTTTTTAAAAATATATAGATATGATCATTTTATATTCAGACCCGGTTGTACAAGGATGCAAAAGCATGCATTGTACCCTTAATTTAATATGTTGCACCTACTGAATAATGAGTGTAAAAGGGCTGAGTAAAGGTAAATACAGATCAGCAAGTGCAGTGATTATATACTCTCGAAATATTCTTCTTTAGACATTGATTTAGTGAAACCATTTATATGAATATAACCATTGGGCCGATGCTATTTTAGTAATAATTTTAATAGCTTATATCTCACCTGTGTCACAGGGTTTAGTAACGGATGTTTCACAACACATTTACTGCAATGTGTTTCAAGTATAAAACATGATATGCTTCTTTTACTAAAAAAGAAAGTTGTAAAAGGCTACTATGAGCCCTGAACGAACCCACTGTCATTTTCAGGTGATATTTATTTTGCTATGAATACAGGCGGATTTACTTACTTTCCTGTTTTGGCCGCATTAAACTATTTGCTGCATGCATTGTGTTTGAAAATACAGCTTACCATGTTGGCAAGTTCCTTTATTATCCATGTTCTCTAAATTAATTTGCATTGTGGATATAGTCTTTTTATTTGAATGTATGCCCCTTCAAATTCTAGGTGATGAGTGTTTATCACGATTGAAATGACAATCTCAACATACATTTACAGTATGTTCCCTAATATAAAATGGGAGATTACAAGATTTAGTGAAGTTTTGAAATATTAGTTATTACAAGTCTTTATATATGTCAAATTGGAGAAAATGTGTTTTTTTTACGCGAGGAAGGACCCCATGCCTCTTGTTCTAATTGTGCTCCCCAGAATTTTAGCTTGCATGACACCCCTGCTCAGTCACACAACTAAAGCGACCTAACAGAGACACAAAGAGACACATATAGAGAAGAATGGACTGTGACTTGGACCTGCAGCCATTGTGTCCTAATACAATATCTGACTTCCTTTAGATGCCAGACGCCACAAACACACACATGCACATACATAAGAGTTGAATAGCAGGCAGGGAGGCACCAGGCCCACTTCCTCTGCTGCAGATGTAGACGATGGAGAGAGAGGGGGGGGGGAGAGAGAGAGAGAGAGAGAGAGAGAGAGAGAGAGAAGGAGGCTGGTACAAACTTAAGTCTCACACATATTTCAGTTCAGACCTCTGGACACAAACTGCTCCCATCAGTCTGCTGCTGCGACTGTCTCACTGACAACTCAACTGAATGAACTCTGTCTCTCTGGCTATCTGACTCTCCCCTCAGAGCCTGAAGCTGTGCACATTTTCAGATTCAGCAACTTACGTTGGACAACAACACACAAACTTTTTACTAGAGGAAGACAGTAATACCTTAAATAACTGGAAAGCATCTGGAAATCTTCTGCTGCTGGCCGTTGAGGATCAGTGGACAGGGAAGAAGTGCGGGGAAGAAGAGCCTTGCTCAAAGGCACCTCAAGAATAGCTGCTGAGGAAGAGGAAAGCAACCACTAACTTTCTCAGGCTAACTGCAATTCCCTGCTTTGTATCCTAAATCAGGTAAAATACGTGTATGTGTCAAGTGAACAACTTGGTCTTCACTAACTTGATAAATAAGTTTCAAGTATTTTTATTTGAGCTTCCACCTGTTCAGTGTTTGGTCATTAATTATGTCAGCGAAAGCAGCTCTGAAACAGCCAGTGGTGTGAATGGAACTAAATGGTGTTTGGCCTATAAATGAAGTTTTTACAACAAAAGATGGATTTCTAAGATAGAAAAACCATCACGGGGTTGACAGGCAGAGTCGCTGTGGTCAAGAAAGAGCTGCTGTTATCATAAACAAAACAATATCTGATATTTGACTAAAGACCAACTTAATTTCCATCAGGACTGACAGACAGGAGGACAGATAACAAAAAGTTCTAATAAGTTTAATAAGGCAAAATTTCATCTAAAGTTCTTCAAACTCATGTTTCAATAGCCTTTCAGACGTTAACTTTTCAGGAATTAGCGTAAGAAAAACAGTCTAGTTTGGGTGTCTATGAAAGAGCTTTAGTGAGTAGAAAATGTTCTCAACCCTCAAATTTAAAGTTAAAGATGGAAATGTTTGATTTATTTGTTGGTATTGTCAACTCCTCTTTTTTTTTTACTCCTGTCACATTTTTATCTTGTTGACCTATTCAATTGTGGAAGATTAATAGTGTAAGTTATAAATAAAGTTTATTATCGGACTTAAAACATCCTCAGGTCTGAGCAATGTCAACGGTTTATCATCTATTATTGTGAACCAGCAGAGGAAAGAGAGACAGGTCCTTTGTGTGTGTGTGTGTGTGTGTGTGTGTGTGTGTGTGTGTGTGTGTGTGTGTGTGTGTGTGTGTGTGTGCATTTGTGCCTCTGTGCCCGTTATCAAGACAGGATGCAGAACAATACTGAGTGCTGGATAATGGGCACACATACACACACTAATACATACACATGCACGCAAAGGTCAGGAGAAAGTCTATACAAGGAAGTAATATTGTTATTAATGATGCTGGGAGCACTTGTGAAAAGCATAAATACACAAACCAACACACACACACACACACACACACACACACACACACACACACACACACACACACACACACACACACACACGGTTTGCTCAAAGACTGGGCTTCACAAAAACAGGAAGGGAAGGGCATTTAATAAATAAGAGACTATCAGAGAAAATCCCATATCTGATTTTAAATTCTCTAAAGATGAAATTCTGACGGTTTGCACAATTAATCTTCAGAATCACTGTAAAAACTGAACGCTGCAGTAAGAAGATTAAAAGTAGATAACATGAACATAGAAAAGACAGACTCTATAGCAGGATGCAGTACATCACTAAACATGTGCTCCCCCACTCAAAAATCTGTTTCTAATACTGTTTCTACCTGACGCTGCCATCTCGTGCCAAAGAGAACGTGCATCTGAAAAGACTTCCTGCTTGAATAAAATTTAAATAGAGTAAAGAAAATAAACTATCTTAAAAATTTGTTGCTACAATTCGAAAAATTTGTTTCATATATATATTGCACCTTATCGCATCTACTTATGCAATGCATGTAACCTTTTAGTCCAAACAAATCACATACAACTATAGAACAAATCTATGTCATTGTAAAAGGGACTAGATTTAGCAGTTTCTTGCATTAAAAAGACTGTTTTTTAGCACCCAATCCAATCCAATCCAATCCACTTTATTTGTACAGCACCAATTCATAACAGCTTTTCAAATAGAGCAGGTCTAGACCGAACTCCTTATAACATTACCCCATAGTACGGGTTGCATATTGAAGTTTCCCTGAAGCAATGAGTGACAAATAACAAAACTATGTTGGATTATCTATCTCAGAAAACTTTAAAAACTCTGCAGGTTCATATGTATGCCTTACAAGTCATAGTAAAAAGTCTGGTTCCAAGACTTGTTGTCATTTGTTGTCAATACTGTCATTGTACTTGTTTTTTTATAGAGAAAAAGATGCAGTAGTATGCATATGTAAACATACACATCCATATCCACAGTGACAGAAAGAAGGACAGAGACAGACTGTGTGTTTACAGTAGACGTCTAGTTTTCCTTCCCCAGAGACAGACAGAGGGGGGTGTGGGAACTGAGGGCGAAGCTAAACTAAGACATGGGCACAGACATTTTTATTAATGGGGTCAGGGCCGGAGTGGAGAGAGGGTCACAGGGTCAGGATAATACCAGAACACACACATACACACACTTGCTAACCACAATCACACACCAAGCAGTCCGATTACAGTTACAACCAGTACACACTGCTCCATCCATATTTATAGCAAATTTCTAGAAAATTGTCAAAAGAAAATGTAATGATTCCCTCCAGACATATATTATGAAATATACAAATAGTCTGTTACTGATGACCAAACTATTTGTGATGTCACAAATCATGCTTGTAGGCCCCACCCCTTAAAAATCTGATTTTCAATTTGCAAAGACAAACTTTCCACTTTCAGCAGATGAATGTGAAAACATCCTTCTACTGTCGGTATAAGAGTGTATACAGGCAGAGTAACATGGCTGAAGACTTTTTCATGGACATTATAACCTCATACATAAAACTTTTGTTAAAATAAACCATCACTAAAATTAGGAGACGCCTAATTGCAACAAATGACCCCTGACTCTGCTGCAGACATGAAACCTGTGTGCGTGCTCTCTGTTCCTCAGGTGAATCCTGAACCAGCAGAGCTGAGAGACAACTGGTGGGCGAGTTGAAAGAGCTGTGCTGAGCTGTAATCAGTCATGGCAGACTGGAGCTTGCTGGGAAACTTCCTGGAGGAAGTGCAGGAGCATTCTACCTCTATTGGCAAAGTATGACACACTGTACACATACACATACAGGTACACACTGCACACATTGCATGCCAGCCAGCACGGCACCAGTTTGACTTCCTCTGCACATGCTGGAAAAAGGTAAACAGCCATAAACCTGCTCAGAATAGAACATTAATACATTTCCAAATCATCCTGTTTATTCTGCGTCTCCTGACTTATGGTTTCTAATAATATGCAGATATAGAGTTTATGTCTGAACAGGTCTGTTTGTTTACAATGCAGAACCACTGAAGCAATCATAAGGGTGGTAAATACCTGGAATTAATAGCTGAACTGAGACACAGGGGCTTATAACACTGCATTATGCAAGAACTCAACATTTCCCTGGTTATTACAAAACACTTTTTATGATGAAAATGTACTAACATGGTGCATTATGTAACAATTAACCTAAATTAAACTTAGGCTCCTGTAACCTCTGGTGTCCCCCTTGGTGTTAAAGTTGACTCTGATCTTGGTCTAAATAGCCACATAAAAGCTGTTACAAGCTCTGTTATCATCTTAAAACAGCCAAACTCAGGGACCTGGAACCTGGAAAAACAAATTCACGAGTTGACTGCTGCAGTGGTCTTTTGACAGGGCCCCACAAAAAGAAAAGTGCCACTCCCACATAATAATTTATTATAAAATGTGGGAAAATGGCTTTCATATTTGGTTCAGGCTGTTAATTACAAAATGCTGCAGATTGTTGGAATATTTGGGTTTTTGGTTATTGCCTCATGAAGAAAAGATGTATCACCTTTTGTCAATTTAGTGTAATTACATTATGTTTTGTTACAAGGCCACAACAGTAAGTGTGGGTCATATTTATTGTACATTAATTAAAACTCAAAAAGAAAAGGAGAGGAGAGATAGTCTTACCATGTTCAAACAATAAAAATGCTAAAATGAACATGAAACATAACTGATGATAAAAGCCACAGGTTTGGATTAGTGGAAGCCACAAGTGTACAGAACAACAGTTTCAGCAACATGAAGGAGAACACAAAGCACCATGTCTGAGCGTGGGCCTTTTTATTAGTTTGTGGCTCTTATCTGATTGGCTAATACCCCCTGCATGGGTCCTACTGTTCCCCTGCTACAAAAAGTCTTAAACTAAAAATAACATTTTGATAAGGTTTATATAACTCCCTCTAAAAAACATCAATAACTATCCATCTTATCTTAAGCTCATATAAGATTATCAAGAGTCCCTGAATAATTGTCACTAAATCATTCCTCCCCATGCATTATTTAATGTTTAACCCAGCGGTAGCATTCATTTCAACTTTATTATCCCTTACTACGGAAACAAAATACATGAGATGAATAACTGTAAATGTGTAATCAGTAAGACGTTGCTGAATTAAAACCTTTATGTAATGGACAATTCAGTCATTCAATCAGGTAGACAGTGTTCCTGCAAATCTACACACTTTTTATAACATATTCCAATTTTATTTATTATTTAATAGTTCTTCTTACACAAAAACTCCTCATTACCTCCTTATTTCCATACATTATCTCCTATATTTCCATTGCTTCCGAGGGTTTGATATATATTTCTGTTTGTTGCTCCACAGGTGTGGCTGACCATCCTGTTTATCTTCCGTATACTGGTGCTCGGGACTGCCGCTGAGTCATCGTGGGGAGACGAACAGGAAGATTTCGACTGTGACACTGGACAGCCGGGTTGCGAGAACGTTTGTTATGACCAAGCCTTCCCTATAGCACATATACGATACTGGGTAATGTACACAACTTAATGCCATGTGATAAGATTAAAACAGAGACAAAATGATGAGTGTGGGGAAATAATAGGTATGTCATTTGAATTAAACGGCAGTAATAGTTGTGATGACTGTCAACTTCAGGTCACATGGTATCACCAATTTCACAGCAGCAATTTTTTCATTACATAGTAAGTGTTATCAATAACATTAATTAAGGCTCCATTCTATTTCGTGTAGCTGAGCCTTTCCAGTACACCCTGACCTGAATGGAACGGAACCTTAATAAATTATCATTGGTTATACCCGGTTTATTCTACAATTTCAAACTGGCTGATGTTTAAAATGTCTATTGTTCTCTTTTCATTTCGGCACAGAAAATGTATATGTTTGTTTGTTTGTTTTTATCTAACATTAAGTCCTTTTTTCTTTCTTTTTTCAAATGCTAAATGAAGTTGCAAGCATTAATAATAATTAAAAAATGGACGTAGTCTTCACAATGTCAGCCTTAGATTACTGAAGAGCCGTTGAGAAGCTCAGTGTGCTCGGCTCTGGCTGTCACCATCTTGGCAGTCCTGACTCCACCAGTCCCAGCTAATACAAAAATGGTGGAGAGAAAAAGAAAAAGAAAAAGAGGTGGAGCGTGGATGGAGCTGAGGCCGGCTGAATGAAGCCTGGTCACTGAAAACTGCTGCAGTAAAATTATAGTTAGTTGCCTACATGTTCCAAAATTGTTGGTTTAGTCCTTTAATCTTCTTTGATTCAACTGATTTTAAGTGTAAATGTTACTGATCTTCTTCCAGGTGCTCCAGATCGTGTTTGTGTCCACTCCCAGTCTGATCTACATGGGCCACGCCATGCACACTGTTCGCAGAGAGGAGAAGAGAAGGAGCAGAGAGGAGGAGGGAGGAGACGAGGGAGGGAAAGAGGACGACCCAGGAGGAGGTGAAGGTGGAGGAGAGGGAGAGAAACAAGGGAGGAAAGGCGAGAAGGACGGAGGAAAGGAAAAAAGAGAAGGTCTATCAGGAGGTCGAATCCGCCTCAGGGGATCGCTGCTACAGACCTACGTATTTAGTATTCTGATACGCATTATCATGGAGGTACATACTACTGTTACTGCTGATGTTAGCACTTTTAAAGGCTTTGAAAGGTCCACTGTGTAACATTTAGGAGGATCTATTGGCAAAAATTTATAAAAAAATATTCATAGCTATGTTTTCATTAGTGTATAATCACCTGAATAGAAGAAGACACATATTTTCTGTTTCCATTTTCTTGTCAAAGGTTACATTGTTGTGTTTTCTTATAGAATACACTTACATTAATACTTCTTATTGCAGTTTATTTTCTTTCATTTTTATTTGCATATTTGCTGTTGAGGTAATCCAAGCACTGCAGGGAAAATAATATGGCCTCTTTAAATACTTCTTCCATTACTGTGTAAGGTATATAGTAAATGAGTACATCTGACTGTGACTGGACTTCCACACAGGTGGTGTTTCTGTGTCTCCAGTACTTCCTGTATGGAATCTTCCTCAATCCTCTGTATGTCTGCAAGGTAAACCCATAAATTTAAACCATTTTGTACTCATCCTAAGTATAAAACATGATACTGAGGTCTACATGCATATTCTCTCCCTCCCTCTTTCTCAGGCTTGGCCATGTCCACATCCAGTAAACTGTTATGTCTCCAGACCAACAGAGAAAAATGTCTTCATAGTGTTCATGTTGGCTGTGACGGCCGTATCTCTGGTTCTCAGTGTGCTCGAACTGCATCACTTGGCATGGAGACACTGCTGCAGGTAGGAACTGTGTGTGGCTTGTTCATTGGGTTGAATTCACTGCCAATTTACTGGTTGATTCAGGATTTCCAAAGGTCTTGTATTCCTGGTTTTGTTGACTAGATTTTCTCCAGTTGTTCTCCAAGACAGAGATCTGGCTTCAAAAGATTTTACAGTTTTAAATTGATTTCCTATTTTACAATGGGCTTTTAGTTACTGTTTGTGCTTTGACCTGAAACCAACTCGCAGTTTTAAGACATATCTGAGATATTTGGTCAAATTTACAATACCAAGCTCAGTATTTGTGGCTCTCTTTCAGCAAGACATTGAGAATGTCCATATTCACTTATTGTCTTTGAGCACTATTTGGTCTGGGAAAACAGTTGTGTTAATGTTGTCTGTGGCTCTGGTGAAGCTTTATAAAGTCTGAGAAAATACAACTGATTATGTTATCATTATAGTCTTGGATTGGGCATTGGAATTTATAGCTGGGGGCACAGAGTTTAAAGACATGGGCATTTAGCAGGCAGGGAGGGTCTAACACAGGGGTCAGCAACCTTTACTATCAAGAGAGCCATTTTTGGCCAAAAAAGAAAGATCTGTCTTATCTAGAGTCTTATAATGCTAATTTATCACCGCATATCAAGCACACCAGTAAGCCAGCAGCATTGCTGGTGCAAGAAAAGAAGTCTGTTCACACAATATTACATTTTCCTTTCTTCCCCCAAGACTTTTCTTATATTATTATATTTCTTATTTCTTATAGGAGTATATCCCTTTAACAGGCTAAAAGATGCCGAACTACTAATATGATTTTAGTGTGAGGACATTTTCATAAAGAGGTCCTTCTGACTTGTTTGTTTGTCACTTCAGACCAGTTTAAGGCAGGGATAAGATTATGTTGTGGTCAACAGTGAAAGGTATTCATATGGATTGGAATATAGGGATTTGTGTATAGGCAGTGGTGTATGGGCTCTTTGTATTACTCCTGTAGGATTGGATGTAAATAAGAAAAACTCTGGCAACATCTAAAGTACATTTCCCACACAGAGAGTCCCGCAACTATTTTAAGCCTTCAGTGATTCAATTTTTACTTCCTGGAAGTAAACATAAACCATGTGAGAAAAAAACCCTGTAGGACTGAAATGACTGCCCACTTCTCCGGGGAATGAATAGCCAACTTTAAGTAAGTTAAGTAGTTTAAGTTTAAATCAGACTTCCTTGCAACACAAGAGTACATAGCATTATTTCATAACCTCTACTGCAGCTCATGGTACAGTTTAAATGTTATGTTTTCTAATCTAATGGTGACTACTTCATGGTGGGATTGTATCTGTTAAATGTCTAAACTGTTTGTTGCAGGCAGTTGCTCTTCAAAAGGAAGGCCGCCACCACTGCTAACGCCTCGCTGGCCCGACAGCTCTCTCTGCCTCCTCCTCTGCCGCCATCAACCCCACCTCCAGACTTCAACCAGTGTGTGATTGGCTCCTCACACTTCCTGCCCATCCCTTTCCCCAACCACCGTCTGGCTAACCAACAAAACACTGAGAACATGGCCACAGAGAAGAACAAAATGGCCACTGCCGTGGACGAGGTAAACATCCTTCAGATGAGCTGCTACTCGCCCGGATGGCAGGAGACTAGTAACAATCAGATCCAAGATGGTGGATACCTGAGGACCGACACTAACTGCTACAGCCCTGGGAGCAGGGAGATTAGCTGCCTTCAGATCCAAAATGGCGGACCAGACAAGCTGTTGCTTAGTCCGAATGAAGGGCTCTGTCAGAAGGACAAACGAAGATTCAGCAAAACCAGCGGAACGAGCAGCCGAACAAGAGCAGATGACCTCTCTGTTTAGAAAGAAAGCAGAAAGCAGGGAGATTCAACTCTTCACACATATGCTAATTAAACATACTTGACCCTTTGAACACATGCACAAAAGCTATGTGCACATAGCTCTAGACAGCTGGAGGAATCAGAATCTAACTCTGATTTTCTTTTTTGTCTTGAATGCCATTAAAATGAGTGAAACTCCACTCTGCTACTTGATTAGGAGACAATTCATTCAGACTTGCTTCCCTTAACAGACACAAAATTGAGTGCTCAAAGATTGCACTGAACTCCAGACTGACAATAATCGGACGTTGAGTGTTCAGATTGCAGTTTAAATGTGTATATGTGCGTATATTAAACAGTATATGTAGAGTCAGTGCACAATACAGACAATCCCTAAAAACGGCTCCTAATGTGATTGTGATCAGATAGTGATGGTAAACCCTGAAATGGGTTCACCAGAATCTGTTACCTTTTGAAAAGATTATATTGCATGATTTGTCAGGGACATGTTTTTGCACAAACTTTAATACTAGATCATCAGCTGTAATGATGTATCACATTTTATCTGTTTATGGGAGCAGATTTTTTGTGACAATACGGTTGCCCATCATTCTGAAGGACTTGCAAATTGCTACAACTTAATGCAAATGTTCTCTCTAAAGGATGATTTATGACAAATGTTATTCTCCTCAGAGTTTTTGAGAGAAACAGCTAATGGGATAAATTGGGGCTGATGTTAATCTACAGTTTTTACCACAGAGGAAGTCACAACAATGGGGGTGTTGGGACTTTTTTGACCCCTCAAGCAACCCAACCCAAGTTTAACCTGTGGACTGAACTCACTGATTTACTGGCTGACATTTACTGTTGTTGGACAGATTTCTTCTGGAATGACTTCTTCATTTTTCAGTGAAATAACGGGAACTTAACTGATGTAACTTAATTTACTGTTACTGTTATTAGCACGCAGCAAGTTTTCACTGCAGCTGGGTCTGTTTTAGCCCATCTGGATGCAGATGTTGGTCCAACCGTTTCATCAGTGGACATGAAGATAAAGCACAAAGGCCGATTGCATCTTAACACCAGCATATTTTTTACAATTTCTAGACTATTTAAAAGCTGTGTTTTAATTTCTCATATATCCCTATATATGTTAGTGAAACCCTAGTCACTTTGGCTGACCACTGGTGAGTTTCTACTGCACTGTATTATGATAATTTCACAGTATGGCTATAAACCCATCTGCACTGAAACACAATGGACTACAATCTCTATCTGAAATGAAGGTTGTAGATTTTGTTTGCAGATTGTACTGTAGCTTAATGTTTACTAGAGCACAAAAAAAATCCAAATTTTATTAGGTGATTACTACTATCAATGATCATTTAAAATTTTTGCACATTTCCTGTAATGTACTTTTATATTTATTACTGTACTTCAATAATGTGAATTCGGTATATTTAAAAAGCTTTGCAGATAAAATTATGAAAAACCTGTTTGAGTCTGTTCTTTCTCTAAAAGGTTGTAACTGATGGGCAACTTATAAAAGTAGAAATGCAGTGTTGTTTATATAATGGTGATGATAAAACTGATGTCTTTCACCTTGATTGATTGACAGCACGTCAAACTCTGAAGTAGATAACGCCCTCTGCTGTTCAAAAAGTGTATCACGATTCATTTTTCATCTCACTGATTTGAATCTTTTCATATTTGCCTCTGGATATATCATTATATTCCTGTATGATGGACACAGTAAGTGTCCCAGTAAGCCATGGCTGTGTGACAGTGAGCCAATATGCACAATAACAGGAAGCTGAAACTGAAGCAGCTAAATGGAATTCAGCCATTATGTTCCCTAATATTAATAAAATAATGTAATGTGGTTACGCTGGAAAAGTCTGATCAACACTGAATTTTAGAATTAAATGATCAGACAATCGGATTGCTGGATTTCTGGCATGTCAACATTTTCTGTCTGCTGTTTGAGCAGTTCCCCGGTCCAATTTCCCTAATGACTGCTGCCAATAGATCCATTATCAATTGTCAGTATTTGGATCAAAGAGCTGTTATTTTAAGGGGTCCGATACATATTTATAATTATTCGACTGAACTGTGTATCAAGCGGTATCAAGAGACACAGATTTCAGACATTCGGATAAGAATCAGGGACAAAAAACTACACAGCGACATCCCTATGGACCAGTAATAGTTTCCTGAATGTGCATACTGTAATTCAATTCAGTTTTAGTTAGCTAAAGTTAGCCAGCTATCCAAAAACAATGATTGCATCAAGTTTGTATGAGAGAGAGTGAAGGTCAAGAAGACATGGATAAATTGAATGACTATAATCATTTGATTATATTAATATAAAGGAATTTATTATGTAATTTGTGGACACCACTAACTGCTGCAAACCCTCTACTCATTTTTAACAATCTGCTACAATAATTTAAGATACCATAAAGTGATTTGTGAAGTTTGAAGACAGATCTTTGATTTGTTCACATACTTATGAATTAAATATAAATTACCTGTGATATGTGTAGTTCAGAATTGCCTGAAACCTGAAGGCCCCTCATAATTTCACTCTTGATTGAATGTCTTTCTAACACAAGAGCTGGACAAGAGAGAACTTCAGTGATGGACAGACAGACATCAAAACAGTCAGAAAGTTGGCAAGATGGGATAGTTTAGAAAGGGGGCTATTAAAAAAGATCTTCCCTGATTCCCATGGCTAATATCCAGCTTGGAACAGGGGCTGATGGGAGAATTGCCAGTAAGGTCATCTGAATACATCAGGAATGTTTGGGAACTATAACACTGAGGGTTTTCTGTTTTCATTCCCATGTGGGAGCCATGTTACTGCATGGGCAAAATATATATAGGTGAGGACAAGGGTGCCCTCTTGTGGCCAAATATATACCTGGAACACTAAAATGACCACATATAAGAAAACACTAAATATTTTTTAATATTAGTCCACGTTGGTGTTTTTCCAACAGTACCCACACCAGCAACTCAAAAACTAGTTGAGCATGGAGTCACAAATGAAACAGTTCAGTCAGACACATTGAATTGATTAATTACTACAGCACATTTAAAAGACTACAGTAGTACTGGTAGTTCATCATGATGTATAAAATGTGTCAAAATGACAGGTAATACAGCATGGTCATAGGTACAACAGGCTATAAGACTGGGAATGGTGGTACCATAAAAAATATTTCCCCAAACAAGTTTGACAAACTTATGTTTTGAGTCGTTTGATAATGTATATAATAACACACAATGTATCGAAAAACCATCAGATAAACCTCATACTGTCAATATCTCAGGCCAGGTTGCCTAATTAGACTACACTGACCTTAGCCTCTCTATGGTGTTAAGCATGCACAGTGGGGTTTTAGAGGGGAGCTGGAGATTGAGCTGATAATTCTCTGTAGGTTAATCACTTTGAACGACCCCTGTTAGATTGTTTTTTATTTAAAAACTCAGTTATACCGCTTTTAAGGTTAGGAATTAGGGTCCTCACATATGCAGAAAGACAAATATGTGTGTGTGCGCGTGTTGTTTAACAATAATGTTGTGACCTCATAATGCCTCAAATGACTGAAGATATGTACTGATGTCCTTGTATTGTCTTTGCCAACATGTCATGCATCTCGTGAGCCTCTGTCACAACCACGGCCTCCCCCTGACACAGACACACACACCCACACACACCTGTTTCTCATCCATAATCCTGCATTTGGGTCATATGTCAGCTGTATTTATATCTCAAAAGGGAGACCCTTGTTTACAGCTGCCTGTCAGTGTGTGCGCGTGTGTGTTTGTGTGTGTGCCTGGTTATGTCGCTCTCTATAAATGTCGCCACAAATTACAAACACAAACTAATATTGTAATTTATGATATGTGTATGAAATATATCAAATCTGGGATACACACACTTAACACACTTTCACCTGTGATATACTTATTGATTTCCAGTCAATACACACACAGTCATGTAAATGTCGCTTACAACATCACATCATTTGCGCTTTTGTCCTTGAACACAAACATGTCACAACATGCATTTTATTGTGAAACACCCACTTGGACCATCAAGTCTGAGACATAGCTACTGAGATTTTTGGTCTGATAACACCTCCTTCATTTTAACTGCCCATGTAAAACTATTCTCTCTTTCTTTCCTGCCTTTACCTGTCCTTGGTTCACCCCTGCTTTCCAGGTAGTCTCTGTTGCCTTGCTGACATTTCTACGTTTAGTTGTGCTGGCTGTCTGTTGCCACCTGTTGATCCTTGCCTTCCTCTTTCTGTCTTTGAGCCTGTGCCTAAACCGTGTCTGGCTCCTATTTCCTGTACAAGTTATGAGAGCTGTGTTCTTTTGTCTTTCATTACAAAAGTGTCAGTGTTACAAAATGCATTTTATCATGTCATACCCACTTTGACCACCAGTGATAACTAACTCCCCATGAGTCTGTCCTTCAGGGTGGTGTTTCATATTACACAGTTATAACAGAGGCCTCTAAAAGAAACATACATTTGAAACCAATGTGATCAGCTACTTTATAGATAGAATAAACTGCACTTATGGCTTTCCCCAAATGGAAGAAACATGTTTACAAGTACAGTTATATAAAATCAGAATGTAATTCGAAGGAAGAGAGTAATCCTCAGCTCTTTATCTCAATTATGGTTTGGTGCAAACTAGATCCTCATATATTTTCATTACTTTACAGCCTAACAGCACAAACACCACAATGTACTCAGCCTTCTGTAACTAGGCAGTGTGCAAGCAGATTGTTTGAAGAAAGACTCAGACAGATCTAGTCCAGATCTCTGCACGTCACTGAGCTTTGATCGGTGGGAGAACGTGACTAGATGCAGGACCTGAGTGGCCCTCACTTGGCTCAGTTCCTAGAAAGGCTTCATGAACAGTGGAGAATTATATGACATGATGCAGTATAAAATAAGGTGTGGCTCTCAGAGTATGACATAAGTCCAACTAAGCCAGAAGTGATGATTTATATTTACACAGGACAAAGGGACAGAACATTTCATTTTCAGGGGTTGTATTCCATATCTAATCTGCTGTAAGATTTTTAAACAGGAAACAATTAGGACTCCAAATTGTTTGTCCTGTTCAAACAGTAATTAGTGGACTGGATTCGCCACATTCAAAATGCCAGAATCAGTCTAGACTGAAGCACATACTGGTTTGATAGAAGTGAAGACACTGAAGCAATTCTAAGGTGGACTTAAGTTAATGGTTTTAAAAAATATTTAAGAATTCCCCTTTAATAAATCTATTAAAATTCAATACAGCAGAGATAATTGTGAATTGGTCTGGTCTTGACTGAAGATAATAATTGAGCAACTACATATTTGATTTGTAAGGAATTAAAAAATTAATGCTACATTTTCACCAGTTTTGTTTATACTCTTTCAGCTTGTGTCATTCCATAAACTGAAAGAATATTCAGCATTTGGTATCATCGTTCCTTTAATTAATGTTTAAATACAAACCACTGTTAAACCTGTCATAACTCCAGAGAAACAATTGTAGAAATGGTCTGCTCTTGACTGAAGTTGAGCCAACTCCAGTCAAGAGTTCATATTCTGAATTTTATCACCACTGATGCTAAGAAACAAAAAATAAACACCTTGAAATGAAGAGAGAACCAGTTGGGTTTACATTTCTGGACGTATTCTTTTAATTGCTCCTTCATCCATCCTGTCCACAACATAGCTACCACATTATATTATAATTTAAGTGCATACAGTATTGCTGTGCACAGCGAGAGTGAGCAGCCCCATCACAACATTGTAGATGTAGTCTGTCAGATTACAGTAAAATAAATTAAAACTACACTCTTTCAGGCCTGTGAAACCAGGTAAATAACATATCGCTCCGTCACTCCAGATGGTGCCCTTGATATTTCAATATACACAATACAGTAGCTCCACAACATTGGTAGGCATGGTGATAGTATGCCAGCTGATTTCACACAGCAGGGATCTCAGCATGGTGGTGGTTTTGAAGGCAGTAATACATATTCATACCCCACAATTCATAGCTGCAAAGAGGCAGATAACAGTGAGACACCGTTAGCACAATGTTTAAAAAACCTGTACATACTCTGATGACTGGCAGCAGGTTAAAAACAGGAGCTCAGAGGAGCTGCTTCAACAGATCCGTTAGGAGTCGTACAATGCAACAACAGGTTTTGTTCAGAAGTTTAAGAGGACAAAATATTCAGTGTCCAGGATTTCCAACCTGTCTCACACTGATGTACCGAATATTAGATTACTTTTTTAGTTATAGTTTTATAAGTGAGGATGATAGATGATGGCGAATGGCTCCACTAGAGAAAGTACTGGACAAGTGTTGTCATGGAAAACAGAATGGGTGAGAGGTCAGGCAACCTATCATGTTAGATATTTTAAATAATGGGATTATTCTTTCATCTCAAAGAGTCAGAGTAGTACACATAGACAAAAAAAATAGACCGGTTTTATGTTTAGCCACTTGAACAATTTCTCACACCCTGACCTTAAAGAGGAAGTGACACTTCTTTTCAAACCCTTGACAACATAAATTACCGTATGTACAATTGACTAAACATAAAACCATAGATTTACCATGTGCAATCCTAAAAATAAACAAATAATACAATAAAATGGACATTAAATATTCGTTTTTTCATGACTACTTCATGATGTTGCCGATTTAAGGTATGCAATGAGGTCCTGGCGCTCTCCCTTCTTCTTGATTCCAGCGAAGATCATTTTGGTTCCAGGAATGTACTTCTTGGGGTTCTCCAGGTACTCCATCAGGGTGCCCTCACCCCACACAATACCTGGGAAAAGACAGATAATCAGTGATGAAATCAGGGTAAGTGATTTAAGCAAGGCAACTCGCAGGATCTGACCTCCGATCTAAAAGGATAAAACATATCTGCCACCAAACTTCCACCAACAATCTTTTAAAGCCTTATGTATAAACTGAAGATCTTTGAGCGGTTTGTTTGAAAGACTTGACCTCAAACACATTTTTAAAAAGTAATAAAAAGATAAGCTAATAATGGCTATAATGAATTAATGAAATATTCACATAATGTATTTGCTAACATCCATCATTTATGCCTTTTTGTACCAGACAGTAGCTCATTAAACTATTTCAAATGATAAAAGAATTAAGACCATGTTACTAATAATTCAATCATCTCTGCTTTGTTCTAGCTCCGTTCCACTGGCATTGTTACAGAACATTTTAAACATCTTGATTGACAACACTCGTTCCATGTTCAAGGTAGAGGGTTATTCATTTAACCACTGGTGAACTGACCTTTACTCTTGTTGGCATCTGTGTACGAGTAGCCCTCTGCCTGCCCGGTCTTGCGTCCGAACAGGCCCCAGAGGTTGGGGCCCACCTTGTGCTTGCCACCCTCCTCTACTGTGTGGCACTGAGCACACTTCTGGACGAACGCCTTCTTTCCTTTGGCAATGTCTCCCATAGTCAGCTGGAGAAACATAAAGTCAGAAGTATAATTATTACACATTGTTGGGAGGGTGCGAGAGGGACATAGATTAGTTGTTGTTTATCATCATTTTTATGTTCCTTCTGAGAAGGAACCACTGTATGTGGTGGCAATCTAACAAATAAAGAGTTAAAGAGAATAAATTGTAGTAATATAAATCAGAATCCTATCCCCTGTCTGAATAAGGATTTGTGGGAGTTTACATCCATATATAAAACTGCTCATTTTCTATTCTGAGACCATGGTTATGGCAGGAAGCTCATTCACTTCTCCAGTCTGACAGGCGCCATCTTGTGAAGGTCGTTTAAGGTGACAACTTTTCCTGCACCTGTAGCGCTGGTTTCTATAGGCTGCACTCAAAACACGTCCTGACATTACCCCGTCTGCTGGCACCCTGCCGAGCTCATGTCCAGGAAATCCGACAGGGCGCCGCACGACACCCGGCTCAGAAACACGTCAGCCTCGCTTTCGTTCGCTCCCGCTAGGTCACTGTCGGTGTAGTGTCATTATTTCGGGCACTGGCAGCTTCAGCTCGGGTTACTCTATAAGATATGCTGCCAGGCTTGTCGAGTAAATAAGGTTTGTCTTAACAGTATCTCCGCTATGAGGGTGCAGCTTTAATGTGTCGCTCTTGTGGAGGGGAGCCAACGAGTTCAAACGAGCCACATTAATGTACTTAACGTTAGCTAAGATAAAGGTCTGTTAATGATACATGCCACTGTGGCAGAGGACTGACCGTTGCTATGCCAACAAGTGCGCCCTAACAATGCATGGGTAACTATCGCTAAATGAGCACAACTTCCTAATTAACTACAGTCGGCGGATGTTTCCACTATAAAGTGGTTCATTCTGTTGTTTCTTGGTTTAAAATCAGTTAATGTAACCAGGAATCAATTTATAAGAAGGGGTAAGATTACGCAACCGGGTCTAGGTGTCCTCAGTGTACATCCGCCGCAGCGACACCGAGACTGCCGACTACAGCCCAGTGTGACACCGCTTACTTGGAAAAGGTTAGATCTAAACCCGATTACAACAGTCATATCTGCATTAGATACACTATGTACACAATGACTTCGTATCGTAATTGACTTAAGTTAACAAATAGAAAACGTGACAGACAGCACTGCAGCAGCTGGATCTTATATATGGATGTTATATAACATCTAACGGTGGCTCGCTCAGTGTAAATCTTATGGACCATGAGGAATACAACACCTTGTACACTGTACCATGTAAAGTCAAAGGGAAGGTAAAGTTAGTCTATACCACAGCCCATACAGCCCATACAGCCTTTAACATGGCGGGCTACCGGCTGCCTCACATCCTTCCCATGAAGCATCAAGGACATACAGCAGTAGAAAGTACTAGAAACTGGAAGTAGCTTCCGTACACAGACACCGTCCTAATGTGGTATTTACGCACACATATTCTTTCATAGCAAAGCTGACTGAGCTAACAGTGAGCTATAACGTTAGCTTGACCTGGCTACAAAGGTTAGCAGGGCTCCAGTGGGTCAAGGATGCTTCAATGTCGGCGTCGGTGTATCGCAACCAGTGCTGAAGTGTTAGCTGACACCTTCACGTAAGAGAGTGTGGAGAGCTCAAGTATGACGCTTTCCAACAATTACACAATCCAACATTGAACTGGCGCATTACTGTTGAATAACGGGCTTAGGTTGAGTAACCCTTTTTGTTCACGCAAAGAGAGCAACCGAGCTATTCACCAACATTGGGAGCTAACGTTAGCTAGAAACTAACGCACAGTAAGGGCTCAGCCGCCCATCATCATTGTGTTTAAGCGTCGTTTTGAATAATGAAGCAATAAACTCAGTCTCTCTTTCATATAACGGTTCAACAGGAAGTTTAAACGTTTACCTTTTGATTGAAATATGCGGGTTTAAGATCCCTCCGGTGCAGGTGTAAGCAGCGTCTCTCGGCCGGTGAGCGGTTTCTGGCGGACGTAAAGAAGGTCACTTCACTTTAGAGGCACCGGCTTTTGACGTCATCCAATCACGTGCAGGACGGGCTCAATGCTGACGTGCGTGTACGTGAACCCGCGTAAATCCGGCCCAGTTCCGTTATACTCAGAGGAGTGCGCTTACCCGACCTCGTATCTTAATATATACTCGGAATTCGTTTGGGTTTTGGGATACTGTGCTCGAATACACTCAGATAAAACAGTGGTATTAAAACTAATGAATATAATGTTGGCGATTCCTCTCTGGTCCCCTAAGAGATGAGACAAGGGTCTAGGAAAGGAAGCGAGTAGTGTGTATTGGAACCTGCCCCAGCTTCCATCCTGGAGCACCTGCTGGAGTAACCTTATAAGGAGATGAATAAGTACGTTATAAATGTGCATTTCGGTACTGTTAATGCAGATACATGAAAGTTTCACTCATTTTAGTCGTACAGAACTTTTGTTTGTCAATTATTCCAGTTCCAGTTCCTAGATTCTGGGAATAGAGACAATCTCAACATGTTCTCTTATTTTTGGCTCTGTTCAGTATAAAATGTTTTGTGTACACATGTTGGTGCTTTCATATGCTATTTAGTCTATTTTACGGGTGGGTAAATTATCATTATTATGAACAAGTCAAGACATTAATTAATCAGTTAATTAATTCACAGTTTATATATAACTTCAGAAACCTGTGGTACTTTTATCTGTAACTACAGGAGGCAACATCTCAACTAGTCTCTATCACAGTGGTAACTAATATTCTTCACTATAGTCTCTCAGTGCCTCTTGTCTGGTATCCTGGTAGTTTAGTAATAACAATATAAGGTAAATAATAATTCAGTAATAAATAGCAAGGTAAAGGTTTATACATAAAGTGCCTTTCTAAAGCAGACTTCACAAAGTTCTTTACTATAAAAGACACAAACAAGACAAAAAAAGAACAGTTTGGTTTGAAGCTGTTCAAGTTGACCAGAGTGTCCTCAGACTCAATGGGAGTTTAGAGGTCACAACCTGAAAGGCACAGTCTGGTGACTTGGTACAACTTGTCTTCATAACGCTATACCTCTTAATGCAAATGTAGGTCGTTGGCAAAATTCACACAGCTCAACACAAGTTTACATTAGGTATTACATCTTTATCAAGAATATAGTTGTTTTATATAGTCAATTCATATATTTTATTGTTGACACATATTGAAATATTTTTCTATCTTATCAGAAGTTACAGTGATGGAATGTAATTAAGTACATGTAAATATACTATTATGTGATAATCATTAGCGGAAGTCCTATACAAAATAGTTCAAATGAGATTGACCTCAACCAACTAGGCTGCTAATGAACTGTAAAATCCTGCTCATACATGAATGAATGAGTAATATTTGTAATGTTACTGAAGTAAACAGTCTGAATGCTGGTGATGAGTTACAAAAGCTCTCCGCAGTCTGCAGCATCCTTTTGTAACTTTCACCAACCGAGAGCAAGAGAGTGTTTTTACACCTCCCGTACAGGAGGTGGCAGTGAACGTTCATTATCGGTCTCCTACCAGCTCTACTGACAGCTTCATAACTATGGGAATTTACACAATTATTGTCCCACTCTTTTCGAAAATAACAGTAACTAATGAAACAAGTCGTGGCAAACAAATGTAAAGATAACATGACTGATTTTCTACAGGATTCACAATGAGTACCCGTCTACTGGTCTCGTCGTTGCTTTCCAATTGCAATGTCCAAAGCAGGAAATTCCGAGGAGCACGTAAACGTCTCACGAACCAACAGCATTCTGTTGAGCAGAAAGCAAAGATGGAGGAGTACCCCTCGAAACAGGTCACTGAAAACCTCGACGACCCTCCCAACAGCCGGCTTTTCGCGGTTACAAGTCGGTCCATAACCGAAGATGAGCTCCGGGACAGTTTCTCTGTGTTTGGGGACATCCAGGGGGTTTGGGTTGTCAAAGACAAGCAGACAAAGGAGTCAAAGGGAATCTGTTATGTGAAGTTCGCCAAGTCTTCGCAGGCCTGCATGGCCATGGAGGAAATGCACGGCAAAGTGCTGATGGACGGGACTAAACCCATCAAGGTAACGTTAACGGTCGGCCACCGGGCCGCTGAGTTAAATGAACACACTTTACTGAGTTAAGTTGATATTTTGATTGTTTGACGCTTTCAGTCCAACAGTCGTCTGCTCAGTGACGTTAGCTTGCTAGCATGCTACACCAGGGGCGTTAACCTTAGCTACATTGGAGAGCGACACCAGTGTTAATGTGTTAGCCTGAATTATAAAATCCACATCGTCTCCTGATGGTTTCTAGCCATTTCTGCTACTATTAAGTTACTCCAATACAGTTGAGGCTAAGATCATTTTGATTGTGGTGCCCAAAGAAAATGAAATCATACAAATGGGGAAAACAGCAACAACTCGTTTTTCCAGAATCAATGACTCAGTCGTTTAGGCTGATCCACATACCTCATACCTTACTGAAAGGTTGTGCAAACAACAACAACAACAACAATGGATTATCTTGATTAACCAGGATACTGTAGAAAGCTGATAGTAGCACACAGAACAAACTTTACTCACCCATTTACATTGTTTTCTCCTTTGTATGAAGGCGACAACCCAAGTTCCATAAGTAAGCATCTCGAAATCAAAACTAGACCAGACAACATGAGTAAATGGATATCACTAGGAGAAAGGGAGAGGAAGGGTGTTAGAAGGATATTTGTTGAAGTTCTCAAAATCCATATGTAATCTTGTTTTATATTTCTGAATGTAACATTAGGCTGCAGCTTTAAGCAATTACGTGTGACCACTTCCCCCTCTCTGCCCGTTTGTGTAGGTGTTTATCGCCCAGTCACGCTCTTCAACAAGACACCGAGACGTAGAGGATGAAGAGCTGACGAGGATCTTTGTCATGATCCCTAAAACCTTCTCAGAGGAGGACCTTAAAGACACTTTCAAAGTAACTACACCCATTACCACTTTATCACACCCCTTCTCTTTTTTTCATCTCTTTGCTAGCCTCTCTGTTCTTTATTTCTGCCTTTACCCTTTGGCTATATGTAAAATAAAACAGACTGCAGTGAAACTCTCTACTTTATATTGTCTGTATATGCTGTCTCTTGCCTCATTATATGTGATTGAAGACATTAAATCGTGTGATCCCAAATAACAAGTTTAGAAGGAAGAATACATTTATCCCTGGCTGTTGCCTCTGTCTGTGTCTCTGTAGGAGTATGGCGACATTGAATATTGTGTGATCATCAAGAATAAAACCACAGGGGAGAGTAAAGGACTGGGCTACGTGAGATACTACAAACCCTCCCAAGCTGCCCTCGCCATAGAGAACTGCGACAAAAGTAAGATTGTCTCCATTTTAAGTAGAAGCATGCACAAGTGCTGTGGACCTATACCATACAGTTGACAGAATATTCAGTGTGTTTCCAGACATGTTGGCTCCTCACCTGTGTTAGTGTTTGTGTGTGAAACACTGTGGACATTTTTGTCACTCAGAACTGTCCGGTTGATGGCGGTTGTGTTATTAGCTTACAGGGCCATCCTGGCGGAACCTCGCACCAAGGCTGCAGCGACAGAAGAGTACAGCGGGGGAGCGGCCAGGGGAGATTACGTGGGCGGTTCTGAATCCATGAACCAGTATGCCATGCCTATGGGTAC